GGTCTCGCTGTCGTTACCCACGTGAGCATTGAAGTCTCCCAGCAGGACAACAGAGTCTCCAGGTGGAGCACCTTCCAGCACCCCACCTAGGGACTCTAAGAAGGCTGGGTACTCTGAACTGCCACTCGGCGCATAAGTGCAGATGACAGTCAGGACCCGCTCCCCCACCCTAAGGCGCAGGGAACAAACCCTCTCATCCACCGGGAAAAACTCCAACGTACCGGCAACAAGCCAAGGGGATATTAGAATACCCACCCCAGCCCGCCGCCTCTCACCAGGGGCAACTCCAGACTGAGACAGAGTCCAGCCCCTCTCCAGGAGACTGGTTCCAGAGCCCAAGCCATGCGTAAAGGTGAGCCCGACTATAACTAGCCGGTACCTCTCAACCTCACGCACTAACTCAGGCTCCTTCCCCACCAGAGAGGTGACATTCCATGTCCCGATTGCCAGTCTTGGCAGCCAGGGATCAGTCCGCCAAGGCCTCCGCTCCTGGCCGTTGCCCAGCACACAATGCACCCAACCCCTATGGCGCCTCCTGCGGGTGGTGGGCCTTCGCTTTTTGTCTGGTCCCTCACCCAGAACCAATTTGCCATGGAAGACCCTACCAGGGGTCAAAAGCCCCCAGACAACATAGCCCCTGGGATCCCTGGGACACACAAACCCCTCCACCACGATAAGGTAGCGATTCACGGAGAGGACTTATTCTGTAATTTGTAGCTGACCCATTATAAGCTCACTCACAGGGGGAAGATATGGTCTCATAATCTGATGAATATATGAACTATTGATAAGATTTAATGTATTTTACATACATAATTTAAAAAAACTATTTTGTACATCAGTTTAAAGCAGATTTTCCTAAAATGAGATGTATAGACTCACATGAACCCTGTTCTCCAACCTCCGTTTCACATAACTGTTGCTCCATTCTCTCCTCTTGTGTTTATCTTCTCTGTCATGATATGAACACCAGAGCTGAGAGGCCACAATAACATTAAGCATTCACTTTACTTGCATTATGTTTTTTACTGCCACCATTTTGGCAGTTTTTGCAGCCATACTTCACAAGCGAGAGGTGGATCTAACTGAGAAGCGGAAGGACACAGCACGTTCATTGTGTAGAAATTTGGTAAAGCACACCCTGATGCAAAATGGACAATATATAGGAAATATTAAGGGCTTGGACACCACAAACTCACAGTCTACACACATACATGTAAAGCAGAGCCCAGAATAATGTTATAACATGAGAATTGGCTGAATTCACCCAAATCTTCCCACATGGTTCCTAACTGGAAACCAACCAGTACGAAATAAACAAAAAAAATTTGTAATCACAACCCCTCCTCTCATTTACCCTCCAGCTTTCTTACCCACTGCTTCTGATGAGAAAGAGCCAAGTTTAATTGTTGTGTTTACAAGCAGTTGCCAATTATTTTTCTTGCATTATCACATCATGTGCTTAAATTATTTTTTATAATAAATAGATGATGTGCGCACAAGACCTACTCTTGGATTTAAAGACAAAGATTTTATTCAATTTTATTTATATATCTCGAAACCATAGCAACAGTCACCACAAGGCATTTAATATTGGAAGCTAAAGATCATCATGGTTCCAAACTATGTTAATGTCAGCTGATTCTACATTATTTTTCTCAGTGTCTGCAGGTCTTACCACCTAGATGTAAAGTCACTTCAGGATCCAGCTTTCCTCTCCTAGTCAACCTTGGAGCTTGGATGCAGAACTGATGAGTGGAGAATCAACATCAAAGAAGAAGAAGGACAGGAGGAAGTCTGGAAGAAGCCACACAACCTCATTATGGAGACTAGGAGACCTTTTGTCCTCCCTGGAAGCTCTTTCTGTAAAATAGTCCTCAGTTGCATCTCAAACTGCTAATTTTTGCAGGATAAATACTTTAAAAGACTTTGCCCGTCTTGGTAGGTTCATCATCACACCTGAGCTGTTCTGGAGGCGAGGATTGCAGGAGTGCAGAGGTTCAGCTGAAAAATAAAATTAAACAAAGTGTGAAAGACATGGCACATCAGCTCCAGGACACAGTTTGGACAAATACCACAGAGTGGCATCCGCTCAAATCGAATTAAATCAGAACGCATTAACAAGACTTTGACCGACACAAATAAGGTCTTAACAGACTTGAGGTCAAGGCTGTCAGATCTTCTTTCTTATCACGTCAACAAACTTCCTGCAAAGGACTCCAGCTTCGACACAGTTTGACCTTTTAATTTAAACACGAGCATTGTCTGCAGAGATGTGAGGGACTGGAGAGAATGACAGGCTGGATAAGCGAGCAGGAAGAACACAGCTGTTTTCTTATAATTAAATGTTTGATGTGATAGAATCAAATGGTAGTAATTAGAAGTTTTTACTGGTGAGGACTGTGCAAAAACAGAGTAAAATATAAGTGTACTAAAAGGGCGAAAACATTGGTTATATAAAGTCTATAATCTGTGTATAGCTGTATGTTGATTGTGTCCCTGTGCTTTGTCTTAACTTTAAATTGTACATTTTGAAATGTCATTTTATTGTACCATTAACAGTATGTGCCATAGAGTATCTTGTAATCTGGCAGTATTGTGAGGAACTAAAAAGGGAGTAAGTGCTGGACTCAAACTGTGGATAGGTTTTGTATTGTTGTATCTTTCTTATTTTTGTTTCCTGTCATCCTTCGCTGTCTCACAACAAGAAAAGAACGAAAGGAAGAAATGAGTCTAACTTACAATAAATGTGTTAATGGAAAGAACAAAAGAACTTAACAGGTTATGTGTTTTTGTTTTGGTGCTGAGGTTAGTTGCCTTCAGGTTGGTAGGCTACCGGTTTGGCCTACTCAGAAGGCCGAACTACTTATACCCGTCTGAAAAACGTAACTTACACATATCTGTTTTTCTACACCCACTGGGTTTAACAAATAACTTACAGTTTTGGTCAGAAGTTTACGTACAGTCATCTTGGGCATGAATGTCCAAAAAAAAAAGAAAGAACTGGATCCCCAAGTTTAACATAGTTTTGGATTTTCTCTAAAACATAAACAGGCACAGACCTGGCTTTTAAGCCTAGTGCACAAATTTTCAGCTGGGTTGGTCGTAGCTTTGGTCATTCAGGAAGCTTAAACAGCTGGAGGATCATCATTTCAAGTCCAGAAAAATATGCAAACTGTCACCCTCAGATGAACTGGTTAGGATGCTCAGGAAGCAACAAGGCTCAAGACTGCAATGAACTGGAAACTGCTGGAACACTAGCATCAGTGTGCACAGTGAAGGAGGTTCTATATCCTTATGGACTGAAAGCATCCTGACCAAGAAGGAAGCCCCTGCTCCAAAATCAAAAACTTCAACCTTGACTGAAATTTGCAGATGTTCACACGGGCAAGCCAAATGCTGTCTGGAGAACGGTTTCATGGCCAGATAAGAAATTAAAGATGTATGATGCACAATCTTTCCAGTGTCGCAAAAGAGCAGTTCAAGTAAATCATTAAAAACCCCAAATTACCATGACATTCATGCCCATGATGGTATTTGCAATTGTCTGATCACAACTGCATAAGTGATTCATAAGGGACTTTTAGAGATGCTGTTTGCTGGAAACTTGCCCTTACTCTGTGCCAGGCTTGCTAACAAGTGCTACACCTGTTTCTGTGACCCCCTGACATTATGTGACCTGAGGTAAGTATTTACTCACTGTTCTTGACACCTGTTGACCAAGCACTAGCACTTATTCTGTATATAAAAAACTATAATCTGACCATGACCTACATTGTAGCCTGCTAAATATGTCTTTAGAGAAATCATCTTCCATGAACATACTTACCAGCTATCAAATACTTACAGATTGGAAAACATGGTACTCATAACAAAAATGGCTTCATAAGACATCACATACTCTATTCTGTTTTCCCTCTCTCTCCTTGAATAAAAATATAGGTTTTGCACTTGAGCAAGATGCACTTCTTTTCCACTGCATGTGTGCCTTTACGGGCCTTTTTTCCAGATCACTGAGTGAAGTAAAAAGCCATAATAAAGCACTCCTAAAGAAAGTACTCCCCCTATAATAGGTTTTCTCACAATCTTTAGCGAGTAAACACAGTTAATAAGTGGAGATTAATCAGTTTTACATTACACCTGTAGATGCATACCATCCTCAGCTCGTATGTCTCACTTCTCCTAGAATTTTTTTCAATTGTTAGTTCAGGTAATTAAATATTGAATTGCTACTATGTTCATACAGTAAAATCAAGAAGCACTTCATAATACAGCCGATGACCTGTAGTGTGATTTACCCACATTTCAGTACCTGAAAACAATCTGAAGACCTTAAAGGAAATAAGAAACAAATTATATTTAAGTATTTTTAAGTGACTGTTATTTTCAGATTATTCCTGCGTAGAAGTAGATGTGAGCTGGTTTAAGTTGGTTTTTGGAGGGGGAAAACACTGATAGTGTAGAAGTCTTTAAAAACTCACAAAAACTGTATGTATCAAATATGGTGCACTAGGCAATAAGGGGTTAAGCCTCTTCACACTGACCTATGAATTATTCAGGCAAAATAAAGCCATCTAGTGCCAAAACTGCGGATTCTGTCATGGAACAAAAGACAGCCAACATCCAAAGAAAAGCTTGGAATGACCTTCAAGAAGCCTGGCACACAGTTCCTGAAGACTACTTAAAATACAAGAAAGCTTGGCTAAGATAGTTCAGCCTGTGTTGAAGAACAAAGATTGTCATAGCAAACGTTGACTTTCAAGCTTCTTAGAATTGTATAAACTGTTTGGAGTTGGGGGTCTTTTTTTTACCTTGTGTGCTACATTTTTCCATTTTCGTTTGCAAGTGTTTCAGTAAATCACTAGTAAAATATTTATATAGATAAAACAAAATGAGGGGTTGCTTAAGATGTTTTTTCACTGTACTATAATAACCTATAATAACCACTGTGACAATACATCAAGTATAGTTTTTGCCTCTTTTCTTTTATAATATTAATATTTTAAAAAATACTCTTGCTTGTAAAACACTAACAGTATAATTAGCATTTGCTTATCAAAAATAAATAGATAAATTGGAAATGTTGGGAAATAACACTACATTGTCAACTATCATAGCTAATAGAAATACAGTAAGTAATATAAATACTTAATTTAATACTAATACTGCATGGTGGTATAAATTTGGTAACATCACGATCAAAATAAAAAAATACTTATTTTAAAAATACATTGAGCTGCTATGCTGCTGGCATATTATGGCTTCTGCACCTTTCTGAACAGAAACGAGAATTCCTGTTACGTCACTGTTACCACAGCAAGCTGAAGGAGTCCTGATTGTTTGCCTTGCCACCCAAGGACACCCATCAACATTCTTGATCCAAAAGGTCCACATACCACTTTTAAAATAATAATAATGACAATAACAGAAAGGATTAAATATCTGGGTTGCTATACAGATGCAACCCTGCAGCACATTATGAAAGATATATTTTTTAAAATAAAAAAACTCCACATTTTCTTAGAACACGTGATGGTTTGCCAGAATCTCTTCAAGCCAGTCCAAAAGTCTTTTTCCGTGGCCTGTAAGAACTCCCCGCACACCTGAGTTTTTGCTTCAGCCACTACCCGAGCTGCGTTCCAGTTAGCCTTTTGGTAGTTATCAGCTGCCTCTGAAGTCCCACAGGCTAACCAAGCCCGCTTGGACAGTCTTGCTCAGGCACCAACCACCTTGCAGCCACAGCTCAGTGCAGCACCTTCATGGAGGTGAAGGGGTCCCTGAACATGGTCCGTTCTGACTCAATGTCCCCAGTCTTCCTCTGACTGTACTTGAAGTTCTGCCCAAGGTGAGGATTGAAGATCTCTGCCAGGCGTTCCTCCGCCACCTGATCCAACTCATCACCACTTGACAGATCATGTGACAGCTCAACACCTTTCTTCAACCAAGGGTCCAGAACGTATGGCCACAGATCTGATGATATGCTTCCAAAATTGATGCCCTGTGGTCTAGGGTATCCTAGTGCCACTTGCACTTATCTACAGCCTTATGTTCGAACATGCCTGTTATGGACAAACTTTGGTTTGCACAGACACCCAGTACAGAACACCGCTTGTGTTCAGATCTGGCAACATGAAGTCTAAGTTTGATTACAGTTTGTTCATCCATGTTCCTACTTGCACCTATGGTCACACGCTCTGAGCAGTCTAATTGAAAGAATGAGGTTAATATAGGTGGATATAAGCAGTGGAAATGAGCAAGGGTGGCTAGGCTCAGCCTTACAAATAGAATAGGAGGGACTTAGGCTACGTTTTTTGTCTGCTTGTTCACACTACAAATAAAATGCGACAGCAAACGCTCTCTAGTGTGAACGCTCAAAGCGGTCCGCATGCGCAAAAGAAGACGTCACACAGAACGCACTCCGTTTATACCCAGAGCAAACAATATTGTTTGGCTGATGACCCTTAATATAAAGACTTCCGACTTTACGTTTCCCAATTTTTGCTTTAAGTTATTTTGTTATTTACACAATAATGTAAATAACCTAATAATTATCCTTATTGCTGTCTTAGAGGAGCGGTACTTCAAAGGATAGTTGCAGATTGCTGTCAGAATCTGCAGATTATACAGTACAAATGAAATGTTCACGTTTCCCCAACGTTGTCTTCCCAACAGATTCACTAACATCTACACAGGATGACCAGGAAGCGTTCGCGATGTCTTATCGGGCGCTTCTCCGGAGCTGATAATTGGCGTCTGTCTTGTGTCAGTGACGTAAAAGACGAATTTAATGCGACATGGTCATTCACACAGCAGTCGCTTTCTAAAACATCGGATATGTATCGGATTCAGTACCACATACGAAAGTGACCCAGATCGGATGTGAAAATATCGGATTTGTGCCGTTCACACTGTCATACCATGATCGGATATGGGTCGAGAAGTTGTTCTTTTCTGCTTAGGCTGATTTCCACATGACCCAAGCCCAGATAAGTGGGAGAAAATGAATGGATAACTGTTGAAAGATCTTAAACTTTCACAAAGTTGTAGAAAATAACAGAACTGCTTTTATATCCTTTTTTGTGATGAGTAATGACTTGTAGGTCTAAATGTGCAGCAAACGGAGAACTCACATGTGAGTCCTGGTTGTTACCCTCACTTCCAAAACACTGAAGGGCAGAGGCAGCATCATAATCATTAAGGGGGGGATATAATTTTTGGCATGCACACCAGCTACTTGATTAAAATCAAGACATGTGCACGGCCATCTGCTCACATGAATCCTAACAGCCTTCAGGGGGCTGTACACCTCTTAGAGGGAAGATTAGTCTCTTTGTTAGAGGAAGTTATGAGTCATTATTGGCTATTTTGTTTCAACCAGAGACTAAAGCCTAATCACTATAGTGCCTCATGAGGCCGTAATGCTCGTTATACACTCAAGGCAAAATTGGATGGATGTATGAATATAGACGGTGTTGCTATTATTGGAACCACTACAAGGGCAGGATGACTTCAGAGTAAAGCCACACTGTGCCCTAAATCAGAAGGGTCCATCCTCTATACGGTGACCTTTTCATGACATCTCAGCTCCATGTGATCTCACTTGGCTCAGTTTCTTTTATTCTTAACTTTACTTTGAGCTGAATAAACATTTACTCTCTGGAGGACAAAGCCATCCCCACCCGCTAACATTAGGTGTGTAAATAAATCCTCGTTAGACCTTCCTCAAGGGAGTGCCTTTCCTTATTTTTGGTCATATATATGTTGC